AAAAAAAAGACCATAAGATAAACAATAGTATACACAACTGAGCAACTGAGCAACACGAACCTTACCAAGAACTGGGGTGATATCAGGTGCTCCGGAAAGGGTAAACATTTCCTGCTAAACTGTTAACGCGACTATTTTTTAAGGGCGGTTTGTTTATTTGAATACAAGTGTGGACTAGGACTTGTGGTGTCTGGTCAGTGAATGGGGATACTGTTTCGTATTGAAATAGTAGTAGACCTACATATAGCTGGCAATGAATTAAAAAAATTCTTCAGAAATAATATGAAAACCGGAGAATGAGAATTTGCAAAAAGGTTGCATCTCGTGTTTGATTTTGTTGTATAAAAAAAGTATGCCCAGATTCCCGACTTTGCTGAAAGTAAGCTTAAAGTGTTTATCAAATCATTTGAAATATGACATGCATGCATACATTTTGTACTATCTGTTATTTATGTGTTTCAATATTGTATTAAATCTATGACAGTTCAGGTTTATGTACTTCCAAATTGAACAACAAACTTATTAGTTTATCGAAATACTAAGGGGATTTGCTACCACAGGAATAAAACATCTTGCCTGTATTCGGCAAATCTTTCGGAATGTCGGGTAATCAATGCTCTTTATGTTATCTTTTAAACTTATTTTATTCCAGCGTCTCTGGTGGGTGATGATGAGTTTATTATCAGTAAGTTTGGTGTTTGATTGTATTTTAGACATTATAATGTCAATCATCCTGAGGCGCAGCTGACATTTAATGTAAAGTTAAATAATTCAGGTAATATCAATCAAATCTTTTGAAATACGAAATTGATACAAGATGAAAAACTATTAGAATACAGACATTTTTAAATTAAAAAAAAAACAATAGGGCCTAAAGGTATCCAAATTCTGAATAAAAGTTTTTTAGGCACTAGCTTTAAAATTCTATATTTAAAAGATTTGAATTAGGAATTCGGATTAAAGTGTAATAAGTAATAATTGTTTGAAGAGGCAAAACCATAATTTTGGTTCCATATTTAGTTTCAATATGTATTAAATTGTCCAAAGGTATTCATGATATAGATTTTCATTTTTATGTTCATCTTATTCGAACAGAATACTTATTAGTATATTGAATCTTTCGAAAAAGATTTATTACCCTTCCGGAGCACCTGGGATCATTCCCATTTTTTGGTTGGGTTCGTGTTTCTCAGTCTGTAGTTTTCTAGTACGTTGTTTTTTTGTGTACTATTGTTTGTCTTTTGGTCTTTTTTTTTTAGCCATGGCGTTGTCAGTTAATTTTCGACTTATGAGTTTGAATGTCCCTTTGGTATCTTTCGCCGCTCTTGGGGGAACATAGAATGAAGTCGATCGTTGAAAATTGATGAAAATCAAATATAATTTTGTTTTCTAGGAATGAAATACTAAAATCTTATCAGTAAAAGAGAAGAGACCTGTATAAGTAGTCAAATCTAGCAATATTTTCATTCGTACTTTACTTGGCTTTTTTTAACTTTTTTTTATTCGAGCGTCACTGATGAGTCTTTTGTAGACATAACGCGCGTCTGGCGCAAATACAAAATTTCTGGTGTCTATGATGAGTTTTTTTACCAAATGCCCCTTGGAATTTTAGGCGACTGTCATACAAGTGAGAGGTTTAGCTAGTTATAAAACCAGAGTTAGTCCACCATTTTCTATATAAGGAAATGCCTGTACCACGTCAGGAATATGACAGTTGTTTTCCATTCGTTTGATGTGTTTGAGCCTTTGATTTTGCCATCTGATAAGGGACTTTCCGATTTGAGTATTACTTGGAGTTCGGTATGTTTGAGAACGACTCTTGTTTTCTCAAACTCGGTTGACTCAAAATATTATCGAGTTGGTTTCGAATTTACGAGAGTCGATTAATCTGTAATAAATTGTTCTTTACAACCAGAATCTTCTGTTTTAAAGTACAGTAAGAACAAGGGTTCAAGAAATTACTAGATCCAATTCTTGGTTTCTGTTTAATCATTTGGTAAATATGGTACCATAAGTTGACGACCATTTGATGTTCTGGAAAAGGCGTGGCAGGAAAATTTTGGAAATTAATATTCTAGTATGCAGTAACTGATAATAAATAACATTATCCAAGACAGGTTGGAAATGAATATTGATCTTCAAAATACAGGACAACGTAGGAAGTAGCCTTGTTCAAAAGTGAAAAACAATTGCCGCGTGAAAAAATAAAAATGCCATAATAGGATCAGGTGAAAATGATTATTCAATCCACGAAAAAAACCGTCCCTCCCCCTAGAAATTCCAATAGACATTTCGTAACATAGAGTTTTACCATAAACTTTCTTAAAGTTTTCATAGAAGTCATCATGATGTGAAGCTTAACGTCTTGTTAAAATGGTCATCATTAATTGAATCACCGTCTATGGTCATAAATTTCAACAAGAATACTGAGAAAATAAGATTGAACATACATTTTATTATCCGATCGTGTAATTTTAATTGACACACGTCATTTGCACATGCAATGCATCAGTTGTGACTCAGTTGAGTAGTATTTTTTTTCTTTCTTATAAGATTAAGATTTATATAGTTCAATACAAACTTATACAATTATTAAAAGAAGCATTCAATACTTATAAATACATTTTTTGCAAGAATCATGAAAACACGATGTCTATCAAGTTTTTCTGTTACCTGTGCACTTTGTCATGTTTATTGGGGAAGATCGTGTCATAATAAATGTTACATTTCATTTTGAAATGAACCATTATTTCAGAATGACGCGAGATTGCTGTTAGCCAATCAAATTAGCGTATTTTAATGAAACATACATGTAATGTAATTATATGAAGGTAAATATGTAGTTTGTTTTCAGAGACAATTAAGTTAACGATAATGTAAGTTGGTAAAGAATTTCGCATCGTGCCAAAAAAAAAAACCGAATAACTTCATGCACGTCAGCAGTAGCAAAAAAAATGTCCTATAATTGAAATGTGGAATAAAATTGGAAAAAAATCATTTTTGAAAAAAATACTTGTTAATTTTGATATTATTAATATAAAAGTTTAATGTTACTAGTCAGTCATGTAAATACACCAAGTCTCTGATAACAAATGATATTTGATGGATCGATAATGTAACATGAAAATGGACGTTTATTTATTCACCTCCATCCGCACGCATGATGAATTCCGTTATTAAATATACGTTTGGTTATTTTCACAAAAATTTGTAATGTCTAATTTTGATTATATATCAGAATTGAATTGACATGATTAATTAGGCTAGTAATCCTGACTTCATAGCAAACAAGAAATTGTGACATCCAGCGACTAGGTGCAAAGTGACTAGAATTCCTTCAACAGAATGAACAAGGCAATGCGCAAATAGATTCACGTGATATGATACAGATTTCATGTCACTAGAAAATTAAAACCACAGTCATGTATTTGTATTTTGAAGATGTGTAAATACGAAAATTGTTGGAACGTATAATAAAGTAAATATAGCATTTGTCTTTATCCGTTTAATAATCAGGTTTATATAATATATACATGTCTGTGTACAATGTCCAATATAAAATCGTGTACACATGAATGCTCATTTCCCAGGTCCAGCTTGATAAAATTAGTTTCCACCTACCATTTTTTCCTTCTTTTTCCATGTTATATCCAATATCCCCATTTTTTTACCCCCTATATCCCTAATATTTTATCCTCATATCCCATATCCCAAAAGTTGGTCATCCCCCTCAATAGTCTACTTCTAAAGATGCATATACAGCGTTAATCAACGATAAATTAACATCCAATAAAACGTGTGCACGTATCAATTTTATTTAGTTTATCTATTTTTGAAAATCACCGACGCACTACATACTATAGTAGTAGGAATACGCGGGTATGAAATTGATATGTAAAACCAGAACAAGAATTTTGTCTTTTGTTTTTTTTGTTTATTGTTGATTCCTATTTTTTTTAATAAATATGTTTTAAGAAGGGAAGTGAAAAATAGGGGAAATCCATCAAAAATTAGAACACTACGATAAAAAAGACATTGAGTTTAAAAGAACAAATCTTGTAAAAAATGAAAGAAAACCCACTCCATCACAAAATATGCATGGACGGTGCTTTATGATTTATTTGAAGAAAAAATGTTCTAAAAAAATGTATTTGCAGGTTGAAAAAGTTGAAAAGTCGTACCACTGAGTACAATATAAGATTTGAAAAAAATTTCAGACGTGTCATTGTTTAATAATAATTTGATTTCAGGGTCGATTCCAGTTTGGACCAAGGCTGGTAAAGTATTTGTCCATGTATTAAGTAGATTAACTGATTTATGACTGATTCTACCGTCTTTAAGTTAAAAGAAAACATTGCACAGTAAGAATTTCCGATCCCCTCTCTTTTTCCATGTTTTATTGATCAGGAGTGGAATTTAAGCTTTAAAATTATTTTCCGTTTGGTCGATAGCAAACCGTTCCTCTAATGTTTGAAAACGATATGACATTAATTGTTCCAGTCCTGCAACAACTAAATCTGATTCAATCACATCCTTTCAGCCATTTTTCTATATAAATATGTGACTTACTCGTGTCATCCAAATCGGAAATATATCTTGTTCTCATTATGGTTTTTTGTTTTGTTTTTTTTATCTCATTGCTTGTATTGTATTGTGAAAATTATTGATGTTGTATTGTTTCTGTCCTTAGGGGCCCATAATTGGAAATAAAAATCTCTTCTTCTTCTTCTTCTATCCCTACGACTTCCGAACTGACCTTTCTCGGTTCTAGCCCTTCCCTGGAATCTGCGACTTAGAAGTTACATCGAGGACTGGATCCACTGTCGTTCAAACTGAGTCAACTGTATTATTTGATTTGCTGCAGACAAGATAAAAATAAAGCATACACATAATGCTGTGGCTTAACTCAGATGCATGTGCACGGGTGTTACGGATAGAAATATGAACGGACGGTTTTGTATTCCAGATTTACCCGTACAAAAAATAAAAAAACAATCCTCTAACTGGAAGATATTTAATTCAATTAAGACATGAATATACGATATAATTATCACAGTATTTCCATGTACATATTCGTGAATACAATAAGACCATGGATGCAGATTAATTGTTTGTTTTATTGTATTTTATACGCACGTGTGCTTTATCTGGGCGGTGTTTGAAAGTTTATTGGAGGTTGGCGGTTTAAATTGGCAATACTGAGTGATAACTACCGTTCCTTTTCAAACGGCTCTCGTGAAGTTGTGTTGACTTATTAGGTCGCATGCCTTATTGTTAAGATTGTTTGCAGTTAGGATCGCCTTTCGCTCTCCTCATCCAATTACGTAAAGGATTGTCGACAGATCTCAAAGCCGGATCCATAACCATGGTCTGGGCTTGCCGGTTTTTTCTCCTTGCAATAACTATGCCACTTGATTTGGACTCAACAACAATTTTTACAAATGTCGAGATACTGGTATTGGCATTTTTTACATCATAGCTTATCTTCCAAGACAGAACAGCGTGATTTAAATCTTTGTTGTTAACTAATGTTTGAATAAATTTATCTTTTTCGTCTACATCATGTTGGATTCGATTGAGCGCAATAAATGTCTGAAGGTCTGATGCATGTTGTTTTATGTTCGCTATGTTATTTTGGTATTCCGTAACGTCTTTTTCCGCTTGTTGTACTGCTGTTAATAATTTGTGTATTTGTTTGCTTTCCGATTTCTCTGTTTTGCTGAGTTCTTTCAATATTTCTTCTTGGAGTTTGTCAAGATAACTTACAATCTTTAATTTAGTCATTTTTATTTCTAACTCTATTTTTTCTCTTGTTTCCTTGATTGCGGTCAGATTCTCTTCACGGTCTTTTCGTATTCTTTTAAAATTTTCAGAAATTTCTGCTAAGGTCTGTTCGATATCCACGAACGTATTTGATGATTTGACATCTTTTACGACATCGTTAATATCAAAAAGTTCTTTGCACACGTTGTGGGTTTCCACAACGCACTTTTTACAGCATAGACAATCATGTTTATAACAGTATATTTGAATCTTTTCATTGTGGTCTCTGCAAGTTTGTGTTATTTCTAGAATTGTTGGTGGCAGTTTCTTGTAATCATCGATAGAAATGGTATTATGTCCCCTAGTTGCCTTGGAGATGCGGTGATGTTCGGTACACTCTCGACAAAGACCTTCGTCACATTCGGAACACCAAACTACTGATGGTTAAGTTATCTGACGAAAATTACATATACCACAAATAGTCAAATTAGTCTCCATTATCCTAAAACAAATAAATATTAAATATTGCATTAATTATACAAAATATTATAAATGCCCAAGGTCAAATAATATGGTATTAAAATAAATAAAAGATTAAACGATATATCGTATTAATCCATGAAACACATTCACTACAAATACATGGAAAATCTAACGGCAAAGGCACAGCGATTCTACAGTTTCCGTAAGTTGCAATCCAAATTTTCTTCTTTGCGATCCAAATTTTCTCTCTCCAATTTTCTTGCAATTCGTGGGGATACATGTAGGTGAACCACGAATTTAAGTGTTCAGTGATGTTTAAGTTCAGTATCAGCATTCATGCAAACCTTGAAAAAATCACGATATTTAATATTTCCTCAATCCACAAAAATTAGTACCCACGAAAATAAAATCATCGCCCTAAACATTCATGAAATATGATGCGCTGAACGTACATCAAACAACAATCGAGTAAAGTATTTACTTTCATTTTCAAATTTATATGTTATATATTTTGATTTCGAAGAGATGAAAATATAAGAATTGATTGCTGCTTTCTACGATTTTATTACGGAATGAAAGCAAATATCATCACATTGTTTGCGCTCCAACTTTTATTTCGTACTTTCGAAACTCGGCTTAATATAATAGCATGAAAAGGTAGCAGGAAATTTCCTGTTGAATACACATTACAAGTGAAGCACATTATTCTAGCACGCACGCACGCACGCACGCACGTACGCACACACACACACACACACACACACTTATAAAATATTGAGGGAGCGTTAAGTAAAAGTAGTTATAACGGTCACGTTAACATGCATCATAACCGGGTCACTTGAGACCCGGTCTAATTAGTCATACGCTTCGCGTCACAATGGAGAAAATCCGTTAATGGATTCTCATTGGTAAATATTAGCTTAATCCGTATGAAGTAAAGGCTTTCTTAACATCTGATTGGGTAATATTGGGGTGAGGTGGGTTGATGTAAACATGCGTCGTCGAATTCCTTATCAAGCCAACATCCATCACGGTACAGTGTAGTCCGAATAATTAGGGACGGCATCACAGCAAAAAATCAAAACAGCCTTTCAAAAATTTTTTTTTTAAAATACGTTTTAAATTTTCGGACTAAGTACAAGGAAGTTCTAATTACAAAACGGTCTACTTCTTAGGACAATTTCCAAAGGGGGAAATCATAAGACTTCATATTCGTATTTTATACACATAGGCGTCGGTAAAGGTCTGTTTTGAAAGCAAGTATACATGTATGTAAAAGTATTCAAAGCGTTCCCAGATTTACTTGTGTAAATAAAAGGAGATGAAGGTATCATAATTAAGACGGCAACCAACTTTACACCAAACCTAAATAAGGTTAACACTCGAGTATCTTCAATAGACACATGTCTTTTACAATATTTCAAGCTCTAAATTTTCAAAAAATAATAAAAATAAACATTTGTGGATGATTTTACAAAGACTTAAAAAATATGCAATCAACACAAAATCCCTTAAATATATAGCAAAATTAAATTTAGGAGACCTTAAGGCAATGAACAGGAACGAACTCCGTTTGCTAACATCTGAGAAAACAATAATCACAGATGCATGTACATGTTTGTATTATAATGTTCTGACAACAGATGGTATATAGTTGAACTTTGATCGATGCATATGAATAGTAATAATTGCAAATGTTCTAAACCATAGTTTTAGTATATTTTTTTTGCAACGGCCCAGCAAATTAGCCAGTCAGATATTTAAAACATACAAATAAGACGATATGTTATGATTAACCAATGTGGTAACTATTCACCAGAGACAAAATGGCATAGATGTTAGCATAATTATATACGTCACTCTACTGCATTTAACAATGAGAAATAATCATACTGCATTGTAAGCTATAAAAGGATTCGATATGACAAATGTAAAAAAGTTCATACGGCATGTCATTATTTATGTACAAAGCAATTATATATAAACGAAAAGCAGGTGTAATTCACAGCAACAGACGACAACTAATGAAATTCAGGCTCATGATTTTGGTACAGGCACACAGCGAACTTGGCGGGGATAACCATGTTTGCGGATGCCCAACCTACCCCTAACCTGGGACAGTGGTGTTAAACCGCAACATACATCATTAAAAACGCTGCTCCTTTGCTTTTTGTGTTTTTGCTGTGCACCTATTGATTTTGTGTCCTGTATGGATAACCCACACCCTTTCATTCCTATTTTCTCCAGCATGGAACCCGCACCAAATCACCATCACACGAGATATCGAGCAAGTACAAAGACGAACAGCTCGCTTGGTCTATAGCTGCTATCAGGACAACTCTTCAGGATGTGCAACTAAATTATTGAACCAACGTCAGTGGGAATCACTCCAGCACAGAAGATGGGAAATTAGTCTCTGTGTTATAGGACCCAACACCAGTTGATTGCCATTGATATATTCAAGTATATTACACATCATGTGACAGCAGGACCAGAGGCAACCATAATCCCAGACAAGCTAGAGTAAAGAAAGATGTTAATTATCACTCCTTCTTTCCGAGAACAACAAGAGAATGGAATAAATTACCAGAATCTGTAGTGGAGTCCGGATCAATAGAGGACTTCAGGGCCGGAGTAAACACCATCTCCTGGACCCAGCCACATCTCAATTAAACAGCAGGATACCCAATGCACATATTTGTGAATACACACTTACTGATTTTAATGTTAATACAATCCAGTTTTCCCGGACTTTTACTCTTGGCCAAATGAGTTGCCTCCAGTCTGTTTGAGATGCGTCCGAGTCAATTACACTCAATTGCAGAGTCCGACTCGTAACCGGGAAAAAGAAGATAGACAGAAAGTAACGATCAGATAGTCATACAATGACATGTATTTACCTTACTTCATAACATACCAATTTGTCAATTTTATTCAGAACCGACTTTAAACCGATTTACTCCTTAAGCGTTTTCCATCAGTAACCTTATACGCTACTGGAACCTGCTTAAGTATGATATAGGAACAATAATTTCCGGTATAATTCAGATTCAATAGGATCTAAAACGTTTGTGAGTTGGTTTATCAGGACAATTAATGAAAAGATCTTGATCACACTTTTTTCAAACAGAGATTAAATAATGACATATCTGCTGAAAAACTGATTCATTAAAAAAGTTTATTGAAATAAGTACAGGCAAACACGCAAGTGATTTAGAAATTAAGCTCTTTTCAGGAGTTAACAATGACAAAAATTTAAATTGTAACCCTTAAAATGCTATTTTGACCTTTCCTTTATTCCAATGTTTTTCCCCCCCATTATTATTTATATGCAGAGCAATATTCTGAATGGATTAAAATACAAAGCAAAACAACAATTTTCTACATAATAAGCTAAAAACGACAAGCTTTTTAGAAAAGCTATTACTTGTACTTCATGTAAATATTGATCAACAAAATGTTTACCTTTCTGAAGAACATAAAAGTTAGGCAATAATTGTATCGACCCATATGCCCAAAAAGTATGTCAAATATCTTTTACAATAAAACTTACCTGTATATAAGCTAATTGTGTGCGGTACCAATGTACAATTAGTCTACTCCAAGATATGCATACCGTTTATCAACGACACTAAAATCTGCGCATTATATCATCTATTTTTAAATACATGCATTTTGTAGTTGGTATACGCGGTTAAATTTAAATCATTCTAATTCTTGTTCACCGATTTGACCAAAATTCTTATATTTTATTCATCACATACTTAAAAGTTTATCCAAATTAGAAAAATTCCAAATGAAACGATTAACAAATCATAGCCTGTCCATAATGCATCAGCAGTACGTACGTATTTTAGACCATACATAATCTAATTATCCATCGATATGACTCCCAAAGACTGCCGACGGTCATATAACCCGATATAAACATAATCATAAAACTAGACTCTACTCTGAAGTAACTGAATTATAACAAAGTCAATGTAGGACTTTCTTTGAGATATTATTGTGTCTGGTGCCCCCGCAGATGCAAAGTGTTAATTTAAAATACAAAAAGTTGAGCATGGGAGCACATAGGTCTGTGGTTCACTGTAGGAGGAGTTATCCGTAAATAATAATGCACCTCTTATGCAAGCATATACTCCAAAAATGACAAAGTTCAATTATCTCCAAAAAGTGCAAATATTATTAAAAATCAAAACCCTGACCACATGCACACCTTCAATGTATGTTCAAATAGCCAGCAAAGTGAAAACTTCCTAGCATTCAAACTGTAGGAGGAGTTATCTGGAAGAGCTATGCACCTCCTTTGTAAGTAAATACTCCAAAGTTCAACTATCTCCCAAACGAGCAAATATTATTAAAAATCCAATCCCTGACCACATACACACCTTCAACATATTGACAAACAGCCAGCAAAATGAAAACTTCTTGGCATTCATACTGTAGGAGTAGTTATCTGGAATAACTATGCACCTCTTATGCAAGTACATACTCCAAAAATGACAAAGTTCAACTATCTCCCAAAAGAGCAATATCAATAAAAATCAAAACCCTGACCACTTGCACACTTTCAATATATGTACAAACAGCCAGCAAAGTGAAAACTAGCATTTAAACTGTATAGGAGTTATCTGGAATAGCTATATACCCATAATGGGACGGACGGACAGACGGAAGGACGGACAGACGGACGGACAGGGGTAAAATTATATGTCCCCCAACTTTCAGTTGTGGGGGCATACAAAAAAGTGCCTAGCAAGATTTTGTGAGGTAGACGAAATTGACCTTAAAACTATCGTATTGAATTTTGATGTCCACAAATAAACAGATCGGACTTAATTTACTGACTACTTTTGTTTTGGTTTGATTGTAAATATAGCATTATAATTAGAATAAAAATTTATTTTTTTGTTAAGATAAACAATAATTTTACCTGGTTTAAAAGATATAGACTCGTCCAGTATCCAGTTTGAACGTCATTTAAGTTACTGTACACGTGTGTGTACATGTAAAAAGAAAAGTTATTATAATTCAGTTTAAATCAGTTGCGTAGCAAGGCCATTTTTAAGTGTAAGCCCGAACCTCGGCAAGGGGTCTGAAGGTCCCCAGCAGCCCCAGGGCAGAGGACCTCCGGGAAGGGGTCGAAACCCCCGGGAGCTCACGCGTTATCGTGAAAAAGAGATGAGATGATTTCAGCTTCCCAGTTGTGAAATTTCAATTCTATATGTAGCAATATTCCGGTAGAATTTGCATATGGAGTAAAATTATATCTCCCAGTTGATATGATATTTCAGAACTTGCATTTCCCATCATGATTTCCTTGAATGGGGTTGCTACTAACAAGGAAGCTATTAAACCAAGAGTTCCAAGTGGTGAGGTTGAAAGCATCCCTTTGAAAATTTTAAGATTGCTATCACGAGTTGGTTGACTGTTTCATAGATGACGACGGACATGTTTTATTGTTGTAACAGTCCCGTCCTCTTTTCCTCGAATTTGACCTACCGAATTAGACTTATCACCGGATTTTTACTTACATGAGCAACACGACGGGTGCCACATGTGGAGCAGGATCTGCTTACACTTTTCTGGAGCGCCTGAGATCACCACTGTTTCAGGTGTGGTACGTATTACCTAGTCTTTAGTTTTCTATGTTGTCTGTTATGTACTGTTGTTTGTCTTTTCGTCGTTTTTCATCTTTTGCCATGGCATTGTTAGTTTGTTTTCTACAGATGAGTGTAAATATCCCTTTCGTCTCTTTCGCCTCTCCTTTAGAGTTTGATTTGGGGTTTTTTCATGTTGATTTCATTGTGTTGATTTGGAATTTAATGGTCCTTTTTTTTAGAGAAAAAAGTCCAAACCAGTTACTTTAGAATATGTTAAAAAGGAGATGTCGGGTTACAATGTAAACCAATCAATCGACAAAAAAATCAAAACTTTATAAAAATAGTAAAAAAAGCAAGTCTATCGTTCTGTTAATTATTTCAACTTCATATAATTTTCACACCTTTTTAATTTCGTTAATGGACGCATGAAATAATTAATTTTCATAGATGGTCAGATGTGACATAAAAATGCAAACAACACATATTATATCCCAGCAGATACTAAATTAATTGCTTTAAACAATAGTAATATGAGTAGAATAAAAATGAACAAATATATAATATGATACCATTTGATTAAAAAGTAAATTTCGTTATTTTTATCTTCAATTACGAGTCATCGAAGAAAGCATTACAATTGCTCGTGTAATTTAAACAGTTCCTTAAATTTATTTGGATCAAAATATTTTTCCCTCCTAAATTCATGTGCACGCCCCGGGCCTTTTGACCTAAAAGTAGCTACGCGCCTGCATGCTTTAAGACAAACTTTTCAAATACATTTTTTTTGTACACTTTTTATAAATTAAAAACATAAAAAAATAAGGCACCGATTGTTCATCTTTATTGTTACATTCATGCAGGTTTTGATTTATAATCAATATGCATGTATGAAAAATTCAACAGTTTAAAGGTAAATCTGGGACATAAAAATAATAATCCCAGGGTAAATCAATAATAAAATTAATCCACTCAAATTGCGTAAGATTTAATAACAATGACTTGTCCACGTCATAATAAGTAAAACATGTAGGGGTAAACTAGTTAGGGAGAAAATGACAGATATTGTAAATTCATTTTTTTTGTAATAACGAATAAAAATGTGTCAACCAAAAGTTTTCCTATAACAATAACATGTCGTTCTGTATTGGTTTAGTTTTCGGATCTTTCATTTACGCATTTGATGCAATATAAAGTTTGGGCTTTAAAAGTCTACTTAATTATTGACTTTATACAGAAAATTCCCTCTTTTAAAACATCTATTGTTTCACATATAATACATGGATACTAACTAAAATCATTTCTGAAAAGACTGTAAAAAAATTCATTCTGATTGGTTTAGTGGTATTGTCATAAAATGTGTTGAAATGAACCGTGGTACAGCAAACATCGAATTCCCTCACAAAATGTTATCACGCACTTTAGAAATAGAAATAAAAGCACGTGCAATTGGATTTTTCAAGGTCTGATTGATTTCATGTTAAAGGTTAAAAATATATATAAATCATCGTTTTACCTGTATAACAATGATTTTTGTAAGCCGGATCAGTCAACTTAACGGTTATTCCTGATGGCTTCCTTGTTTCACTTTTCAATGTTGACATTCTTTTCTTTCTTTATATGAATGAAACACACGGTAAACACATGCACATCATCTACACTAAAGGTCAGATTAAAAGGTTGCATGAATTCGGATTTAGATAAGTTGAATTATTGACTTGCAATACAGTAATACGATGTTTTTTAGCTGATTTTGCCGAAATTGAACCAAATTGACGGTTAAACGCTAAATATTATTTCTATTTCCCGCTTTAATAAATTTGAAACCAAACAAAATCGTGTCTTATTCTTTTGTCTAATTCGTAGCTTATGCCGCTTTAACAACAGGCAACACATATATCATGCATAACCAGGTACAAGATTTTAAGTAACCGATCATTTGCCTTTTGTGAGGGTACGTTTTTTTAGTTGTTCATTCTTAATTCCTTGAATAAATATTTTTGTTAAAAGGGAAGTGAAAAATAGGAAAAAAATAAAAACGACATTGAATTTAAACAAAACATCTGGTAAAAAAAATGAAATTGTTTCTACAGAGATAAAAAAAAAATGCCCCATCTCTCACAAATCCTTCCTTTTCAAAGACTTACAGAAAGTTGTGTTCTTTATATGTGACGTCATCTGGCATGGTCGCCTTTTTCATGGCGTCACAATAGGATCTTCAGAAAAAAACCAAGAAAATTTGACGTCATAATTGATTTCTACCTATCATTTGCCGAGAACAAAGTTTTCTCTAGAGATGAGAAATATTTTCTCACATTGATCGAGAAATGTGAAAATAGCATGAAAATTAGAGAAACGTGGATCTATTACAACGCTATTAAGCAGACATAATTAGCCTCTATGTCTTTGGTAGACGAAACTTGCATCTGAAGTTTTAATTTACAAACCTGGTATATTTGAGGTGTTTTGGTCGATGTCAGAATTGCTTGTGGACGTTAATTCTCCAGGTCTAACCAACCTAGTAGTCAGCACTCTTGCACTGAAATGAAATGTCATTCACAGTCATTTTCTGTAAATTTACTGTTCATAAAAATTTTAAATAGTTCGAAACTTTTTTATCACCAGGCATTATTGAAGACCGTACTTTGACATATAATGGTTTACTTTTACAAATTGTGACTTGGATGGAGAGTTGTCTCATTGGCACTCATACCACATCTTCTTATATCTATTAACCATATCTGAAATACCTTTTTGGAGTATTTGGCATTCGGTGCTTTTCAACTTATTATTAGATTTGACCTTTCACCTGTTTTGATTTAAGTTCCACTGATAAGTTTACTAGTAATTCTTAAAAAGACGAAATGCGCGTCTAGCATACAAAATTATCAGCCTGTTGTTTTTAATGCGTGTTTTGTTTTTTCCAGGATTTAGCACTTACTTCTTGACATGATTTTAAAAATTGCTTGACAGGTGTTACTTACATTCCATGAAATGCTCACTGTAAATTCGTTGCCACACCTTGTTTAACTCTATACGCAGTTACTGCGAGGTCTCTGAAGT